CCGGTAGAGAAAAAAGTGATTTTTCAACACCATTTTTTTTTTGTTAGCTTAATTAATTTTGTTAGGTATTTTAAACATTATTTTCCTCTGTTTTTTTTTTTTTTTTTGTCATTCTATTGTCTTTGTAAATTAGATAGCGTGACATAAGTTTTTTTCGTTCGTTTTTATCGAATCAAAAAATATTCGATTTGGATATCCCAAAGGTATAATTATATTATGAATATTGCATGTGTGTGTATGTGTTTTCCTCCAAGGCTAAATTAATTGTTTTGTTAGAGTATCGTTGTATACTCGTATAAATTGAATAAAATATTGCAGATTTTTATTTCACTTCATAAAATTTATGTAACCCTCATTAGATCCGCATTGTATTGTTGTATAGTAGTTGATTTGTGTTAAATCATTTTATTGAATAGGGAGAATTAAAAATTTATTTTTGTTCTATTTAATTTTATTATAAAATTTTTAAACGATTTTACGATATTTATATAGATAGCAAAATAATGTATAATTTAAAATATCGCAGAAAAAAAATAGGGAAGAAAAAAAAATGTGAAAACACTGAATATGTAATTTTTTATGGTAACCTGAATAGGATTCGATTGCGAAACTCTTCGATTGAAGTTTCGATGTCGTAACTACTCCACCATTCATCAGATAAATAATTTTCAATATTCTAGTTTTATTTGTACGAAGTTATTTTATGTTATGATTTCTACTATGCAGGTTATCAGGAAAATATCCGTAGTAAGGCAAAACACTTGATCGTATAGTGGACTTCGTGTTTAAAAAATTTCATTATATTTACACCCAAAACCAAATATCGAGGTTGAGTCAAATTAGTTTAATAATAAAACAATTCATACGGCTATTCTAAAAACCGCCTATCAATTCAAATAAATACTAAATATACAGTTCAAGAATAATTGCGTCAATTGCGTTAACTAATTTAAGAATTTTCATTAGATTGTCCCATGTAATAAATTATTATCACACCTACATATACCATACTTGCAGGTGTCTTATTAGTTATTTAATATTTTAATAAAAATCATAAAAATAACGAATAAAATTTTTCTCTTACAATAATTATTTATGATCAACTATTCAAAATTATTGGAAAACAAGTAAAAGGCCCATCTTTAAATAAATCTATATGTACATGCATGTAGGTATATAATTAAACTTAAAACCCTTTTCTCTATTTTTATAACACACGTGTAAAAAAGAAATTCAATGAATGGAATAAATTTTTTTTTTGATAAAAAATAACCACGGTACTTAAACTTTTATGACAAAAAAAAAAAAGTAGAAAATCAATAACGTAAAAATCTTGGTAAAATATGCTTTTCCTTTCTTTTCTTTTCTATAACATGCATGGGTCTCATAAAATGACAACAATACTCTAACTGTATAGACTTACATCCGTATTATATAAGCAAGTACCTATAAAACTTAATTGACAGTGAAGAAAAGAATAAAATTTTTAAATTAAAGGAAATGAGAAGCACATGGTTATTAAAAAGAATCAACTTATTTGTTATAAATTTTTATGTGGTTATAATTAAAAAGGTCCGGAATAATGCAAGTATTCAAAATTATTCGAAATTTTCGTAAAGTAGTATTTTTTTGTAGTTTGTTTTGATGTGTATGGTAATCGTACATTAATATTCTAGGTTAATATCGTAACAGTTTATGCTTTATATCGTAAAATTTGATATATTATGATTTTCGTTCTTAAATTATTCCAGAGTCGAATTCGGTTGTAAAACATGGCGCTTCCACATATCCTCTCCAATTTTCTCTGTTTTGTACCGTCCCAGTCCGATATTACAGTTCTTGTCCAAGTTCAAAAGCTTGTCTTGCTATCGTCTTTGATCGCCTTTAAATGTTGCTTATTCATATTTTATTTTCATTATTAGACCTGATATTTTGTTCTGCTCTGTTGTTATTCATAAATTTTTATTCATTATCCTTGTGGGCCGGAATTTGTGAAATATTCTTAGACACCTTCTGATTAACATCTGTAAGATTCATATATTTTATTTAGATACCAATCATGTTTCACTGTCGTAATGTTATCCTGTCTTAATTCTATGTCAACACTTATTTGACATAGGCATTAAATATTCTTATTTTTCTTCTATGTACCAATTCTTCCATGTGTTGATTCCCATATTGGTGATGAATAATAAACTCCGTTGAAATCATTTCTGTTTTTAGCTATTCTTTGTTCTATGTCTTCGTTCGTATCAATTATTGTCAGTATTCCACCCAACCACTCAAATTCTTCTTCTGCTTCTATCTAGTAAGTAAAAGGGCACCCGGCATTATACATTCTGTCTTTGCAGGGTTCATGCGGAAGCAAAAGACTTTTCTTTTTCTTTTAAACTCATTAAAACTCAACTTCACATCTTCCGATGAATGGTTCAGTAGGGTTATAATATTTCATCTGCATATTCTAAGGTGCGAAATTTTTATGAGTGTTGCCAAGGTATACCATTTTCGTTTGCCGCTATTTCTCTCATATATTTTTCTATTGAACCGTGATGAGCAATACCGTTTCCACTAATATCATCTACGCTAATTAGTTTACATTCCCTTTCACCATCTAGATTTTATTTGATATTATAAATCTGATAGACTTTTCTGAATTAAAAATTTTTTTATTCAAAATCAAATTTCTATGATTGCATAATATAAATTCCTGTATCGAAAAACCTCCAAATTTTCCACCATAATAATTTTCCCTCAATATAACAATTTTATGATCATGTTTTAATTAATGTTCACGTCCATTTTATATCATATGAACGTATTTACATGTATATGAAAAAAATCACAATATGACCTTGTTAAATTTTTTGAAAACTTAATAATAGTTTATGTGATTTTTTCTAAAAACAACTTAAATGCAATGCGACATTCTACCAAAACAGATAAAAAAAAAAAACAGAATATTTTTGTTTTTTTTTGCTGACCATAGTGTCCTTGAAAAATCCAGAAAAATTATGCTCTCATATGACCTCTAAATTATACAATGGAAAAAATCTGATTTCTCTTTCGCACAAATAATTTCTTCAAAAAAAAGCAAACAAGAACAAAATTGTATCAAATAAGATTTATATAAGAACTGCTGTCCTAGCCTATATCCGATAAGGGAGGACATTTTTAAAATTTTCATGTAGTTGGGTCTACTATCATAGTTAAAGTCATTAGATTTAATTTATTTTCGTTAATGTTATTGTCATTTTCATTAATAATATATTGTCACATAAAATGTGCATGTGTATGTTTGTATGTAACCTGCATATTCACATGCGCGTTTATAACTTTGTAATTTTTGATTAATGAAATCTAGGAGTATAAATGATATATAATGGAGAATGTTTCTCACTTTGAAATTGACCGAATATAAATTGTAAATCCTTATTGAAATCTTAATAGGAAGACAAATATTCTATTCAAATACTATGTTTCGGATTCATTGTTATAGAATAATACGACCTTACTTACTACGGAATATTAACCACTAAGAGAAAATCGGATTTGATTGCCCTTTTTATCATACATTCAGGGGTAATTGAAGAATGATCAACAAAAAAAGACAATTTGTTTTTCAATACTTCTCCCAGTGTCCGGACGGTTCAAAGTACAAGCACAAATGATTTACAAAAAGTGAGACCGAGAAAATATGTCAGGTTTAGACGAAATATCGTAAATATATATTATAGGCGTTCGTACACAACGACTGTCGGTTTTTAACAATTTGCACGAATTTCTGCACAATTATATTTATTTTACCCTTTAAAATAATATTTGATTTTTTCTACTTTCCCTTTTTCGTATTTAAGGGGTTTAAGTTTTTATATTTGCTTTTTAAAGGTCTTTGGAGAATATTCGTATTTTCAAACGATAATTATTTAATTTGCGTTGATATTATGTAACACGCATACAATTGTTTATAACCAAACGTGCACCTACATTCATATTACATTCCAAAATTTAGTTGTCCTTCCTGCCATTACTTTAATAATAGTAGAGTGTTAAGTTTATTAATGAGTAGTTACTCTTAATAACGGTATATTATTCTTTTTTGTTTACACATTTACATTTATGCGTAAAATTGATGTGATTATTAAATACAGTGTGTCCCATTTAATTTCAAATAAGTTTTTGATCTAGAATAAAAGTGGGTTCATACTAAAATTCAAAATGGCAATGTCAATCTAACATATTCACAAACGTTCAGTCTGTTTTCAGGCGACTTCTTCTGGAAGCCATTCTGGTTGACTCCCGAACTTCAACTATAATTGAAACTAAATCAGACAATAAAATTATTAAAAATTTGAGAATAATAGAATAGCAACAGCGTTTCCGATTAATAAAAAAAAGACAACATTTCCGCTTACAAAAAAAATTCTGTTTCCTTTATGGTTATTGCTTGTATGTTTTTTATTGTGCTCTTTGTAATGTAAATTTGAAAGTTGGGAATTGATTTTGTTTTATTCTTGTTTTTGTGGGTAAAAATCCTAAAAATTTTTTTGATTATAAAATAATTGTATAAGTATTTATAGAAATTGTAATGGAAAACGGAAGAAAATGGGAAAAATTAAAGTTGTTCCGTGTCAATTCCAACTATAATATTCGCAGAAGGAAATATTTCTAATGGTGGAACGGGTACCTTTATAAAAATTCAAGTGATTTCGATGAAATTTTTTGTCTTGCTGGTTTGTTGATTGTAGTTTATGTATTGAGATAAGGATGCATATGGACTAACCACTCTGGCGAGCTTCAATACAAAGCCAACCGTTGGCTTCTCTTTGTTAAATGCCTGCAGTAGTAAATAAAAATGTGTTGTCAGCTTTATTACAACCTTATAGTTTATATGAGGTTTCTGACAAGCTCCAAAAATTTATAAACCTCAATTTATCAAATCTCTGCCGCAAACAGTCTATTGCTTAACGTCCCCGTTGTTAATGTTTTTGTTTTTTTTGCAGATTCAAGCATACTCGCCTGAAAGTGCCGGCTTAACAACAAAATTGCTTGGCACGGGGTTTCAATTAGGTGTAGGTTTCAGCGAGTTGTAGTTATATTATGGAGCTGCTAAATAGTGTGTAGTCAAATTATGGATCGGAACTAATAAATTGAATCTGAATTTTATTTCTTCATATTACAAACGGAATGGTAAATTTTTAATGATTTACGAAATATAATTTTGCTCTTTTTCTTACAAATCAATTTAGATTTTTAATGAAGGCTCGTTACTGTGGCGACAAGTTGGCTAAAAACTTTCAAACTAACTTTTTTTTTTTGGTTAATAATTTCCTTTTTAAATGTTAATAATAACAGTTTAATAGTACTCGTAGTTTAATAGCAGTCAGATGTATAATTAAATGGGTACTTCCTTGTAAAAAAATCTTGCAATATAATATAAGAGTAAAGCATTGTATTCAATATTATACCAATACATACATATATGTAGATATTATAATAGCATATATTATAATTATAAATGTGTGTGTATCTCGGTTCCATGCTCTTATACAAATTAAAAAATGTTATGAACATAAAATATTTGTTTCTTCCTTTTTTCATTAATGATTGTTTATTTTTGTTTTACGAGTATCTCCTTTAAATAAACACAACCATGCATATATAATTTATGTATACATATATTGTAGCCTATTATGTATGTACACATATATTTGTATTATTGTGTGTGTGTGTACAGTTATACTACCATTCAAGTCCAATATTAATAGAATTAGCGAGGTCAAATTTTAATTATTTTATTAACTTTGATAAAATTTTACACATTTACACACAAATTGTTATATATTATACAATTATATAATTTATAGGTCTATATGTATGTATGTATATGTAACATGTGTATGTAAATAAGTGTATATATTCTTATTTACTCTTTTATTTTCTCTTGTTTTCTTCTTCTTCTTCTTATAATATTTTTTTTAACATAAATAATTTAATTTATTTGTTGAATTTTTGGACGGAAAAGGACATGGTTTTCGAAAATAAAATATTATGATTTATATATGTGGTATATATGTATATGTATGTACATATGGGTTCCTGCTTGATATAACTGGGTTGATACAACTTTTACAATGTTTATTTTTAATAATATTTTCGTCTTTTTGTAGTAAGAGGAAGCATACATAAATATATGATGAAAATAAAGGACAACTGTGGTTGTGTTTGTTTATAAATAATATAGTGAGAGGGAGAGGGAATTTTTTATTTATTTGATTTGTATTTTCAAAAAGACAATATTTTTTTGCTTTTGTTTTTCTGGTCTTTTCTCTCCCTTGTCATTTTTTAATTTTTCAGTTTCAGACACAATATTTTTTTACTATTCTTAAACGAAAAGTATAAATTATTTTAGTTAAATGTCTAGTTAATTTGATAATATAACACCCTGTCATATTTTTTTATCTGATAGTAAACATTTTTATATGAGGTTGAAAATTAATTGTTTTATGATTGAATAATATGTTTGACTTAAATAAAAAAATTTTTATTATATAAAATGTTGAAATTATTAATAGGATTTTTGTAAAAAAAAAATTAGTAAAAAAAATGTTTGACATTTTTACCAAAGATTTCACTTTTAGTAATTGAGTTTTTCTTTCTCTGGGTCTTGTTTGCTTTTGAAATATAAGAAATTTAATTGTTTAGTTGCTTAATGGAAAATACACATATGAAATGCCCTACATTACACGAAATTCTCTGAATTTAAGGAAAAACTTAATAAATTCAAAAAAAAAGACTAATAGGGTTAATATAAGAGAAATAATCAATTAAATGTGATGCAATGAATAATTCAAGTTTGTGTGGCATATAACTTGATCTAAAATTACAAAAGTTTTAACAAAATTTTTAGAAAATCTGCTAAACTCGCGGCTTAAGTTTTAATTTTAAGAAAAATTGAACAGAAATGGATTTATAACTTAGGAAGCAATATTGAGACATGCTGTTCTTAATTTTAACAATACTCTCCTACCGTAATAATATCATTCACATATGAGGGTCGTCGTCTTAAAAAATTTCAATATTCCAGTCACTTCAATTAGCGATATTTCCTTAAAGCCTCCGGGTTCAGAAAGCTCCTCCCAAAAATCCTCAATTATAAGAGTGTCACCGCTTCACATTTTCACAACAGGTGATCTACCGTCTTGTCCGCTTCCAGGCAGATTTAGCTCTGCATTCTTGCGATCTTCTTCAGATGGATAGTTGTGAAGCAATGCCCACCAGTGAACACCAAGAATTTTTATTTTGGACGATTTCAATTCAGCTCAATTTCATCAGCCCTGATTTTATGATAGGCAATAAATTTTTTGAAATGAAAAAGACCGGAAAATTGTTATCTTATGTTCTACCATAGCCCTATATAAATAATAATATTAGTATTTATTTTATTTTTTTTTTTCTTACCCCTAAAAGTATGCAATTAGAAAAAATATTACAAGAGAAAAATTTCATTCAGAATTCCTTTTTTATAAATAATTCAAATTGTTTAAGAAAAATAATGCAACTCCTCGATATTCAATCTCAAAATTGGAAAAATAATTTTCTTATGTAACGCATCGCTCAATAAGTACGTAGGATGACGTATAGATGGCGATACAAATACCGAATCCATATGGTTTTTAGAAAGTACCAAAATTCAAATGATATGCAAATAAAATTATGGTATCTAAAAATTCAAATCAATCCAAATTCAAATATTCTATAAAGTTCTACAGTAGAGTCTTCAAAATCACATTATAAAATCACGTGTTTTAAAAGCATATGATCCAAATTCAGTAAACAAAAAATTTTTTTTTTAATTTTTCGGGTATAATTTCTTTTTTACAAATCTTTACCATGTCTGACTCTTTGATTCCTTGACCTTAAACTATTTTCTAAAATCTATTATTTTATCGTTATAAATTATAAAAGTATAAAAGTTCATTTAATAATAAAAATAAAATTTACAATTTTCTTTCACTTACTTCACCTTAAAAACAATAAAAATAGAAAATAGAAAAAAAAAACACAAAAAAACAAAAGCAGCCACTCTTGAAAGAGGTTGAACAGCTTAAATAAAATTTCTTAACAAAATTCTTTTTTTTTAGTTTTCACCTTCTAACTTTTTAGAAGAGAAGAAGTTCTCTACGATGAAATCATGCAAACCCTACATTAAAAGAAAGCAATAAAATTTCAATCACTTGAATTGAATTGAAGCAATGTGATACTAAGTGAATTAATATATTTATATGTATTGAGTATATGAATACACAAACACATAAAAATTAACGAATCGTAAAATTATGTAGAGTAAAACTTTTAACTTTTGGACTTTTAATTTGTGTATGAGGCGAACATTTGATATTGACTAAAATGAAAATTTTTTAAAACTGATATTTCAACGAATGCTTAATATATGTAGGTATAGTACCATTGGAACATAATATAGATGGCGAATATATTAAGTAGGAACAAGTAGAAAATGTGTACGTTTGTTGTGTATGTGTATATATCTACAAAAGCTTAGTTGAATTTTAATTTCCTCAATGTAATTCAATTGAATCGAATATTTTTTTTTTCTTTGATTTCCGATTTTTCTTTCTTTTCTTATCTCTTCACTAAAATATATTTTTATTTAATTTTTATTTCTAAATTAACATTTATTCTTTTATTAACAAACATTTCAACATATAGAATATGTACGTATATACGTGCAAATCAATGTGAACCATTCGATTCCGATTTCAGGTTTAAAAGAAAAACCAAAACTTTCATAGGATAGGAATGAGAAAATGGAACAATGCATACATACATACATACATACATATATATAGATATAATCGATTTCTGGTGAATTTTCATAGAAAAAAATTCCAGATAATGTAATGAAAAAAACAAAAAAACACAAAATGTTAAAAAAAATACAATCATTTTAAATCCTTGAGAAAAAAAAAATTTAAAATAAAAATAAGGTTCGCAATAAATTCAAGATTCGAAAAAAGCAAATTTCAATTTTAAATTGACAATTAACAGCTCAGGCAGGTATACGATTTTCAGTTTTGCAATTATTGGCTGACTGGAAAACTATTGCGTGCACATCTAAGCAATTTAACTATTACGCCAATTCAAATCCATTGCGTTTATTAAAGAATTACAATCAGTTTGTAAAATATTGCAAACTGTTATACGATCAACATACATACTGCATACATACTGCATACGATCATACAGTTACAGCGCATACATTCTGCAACTGCATACGATCATACAGTTGCAGTATGTATGCGCGTTCGAATATAAACCTTTGGCTACAAATAAGTAATCAAATAGTCACAAAACTAAAAATTGCATGTCAACTTGTGTTCTATTTGTTAATATTAGCAATAAAATATTTTTCGAATTTCGAACTTCAGTTTTAAGGGGAACTTGAGTAATCATATTAAAAACACGTATTTTTTTTCAAAAATACAAGATTAATATACAAAAATTGTTTTTTCAAAAGGAGTGCAGCTTTAATAATATTTTCAAATTTATGTTGCAAAATTGGAATTTATAATAAAATGATATGAAAACTGACAGTCTAAATTTGACAATTTTTGCTTGTAATAATCAAATTTTCGAAATTCTATTAATTCGAACTCAAAATCATAAGATTTTTTTTTTAATTATTTCTATATTCTTATTCATTTTTGGATTTTTGAATTGCAGAAGTATTAATTTGTAAAATATTTAATTGCAGTTGATAAAAATTGCCACTAGGTGCTATCAGAGATCTTTATTTAGTTAAATAAAATGTTTGTTGCGATAAAATTCTGCGTGTAGAATTGAAATATTTCCATATATATTCTCCAAATTTACAAAATAACAACAAGTCAGATTGTTTATAATATTTTTAAAATTCTTATATTTTCAATTATTGTTTAAATTTACATTAATTTAAATTCAGCAACACACAAAATTGAAATCGAACATTTTGTATTAAAACAATATTATTTAAATTTAATTTTTTTGAATACTATGCAAGGGTAGGAACAGCATGCTAAAAATCAAATTGTTTTCCAAAAACCAAAAAAAAAAAATATTTAAGTAGAAAATTTTAAAATAAAAATGTCTTTTTAAAAGAGAATGAAATCGTTCGATTGTAAAAAAAATAC